TCTGGGCAAGCTTGCTCACAAAGATATCAGATCATCAACTCTGTGTTGTTGAAATGTCAAAAGGTGCATAGTACACTTGAATGTAGATCCATAAATTGAAAATATTTAGTAATGTATGATGTAAATTAATTGTTTTAGGATGGGACCTAAAATGAAATGATATTTTAGTTATCTCAACATAATGTGAATCAAGTCTTTATCTATATTCAAGTCATCAGCCTCATTTCAACCACTAAGGGTTCACTGAGTTCATTATCTGGATTTTATCAAGTTTTTACATAAAAATAAACTGAATTCATCCTGCACATAAAAAATCACTTCTTGATCCTAATGCATTTTCTGATATTCCTAATTATTATAAGTCAGTCTAAAGTCACATAAAGAGGGTCTCTCTGATGACTGGATCCCCTATATTAAAAATGAGATTTACTGCTGATCACAGTGTCTGTTGTATTTTAAAAATACAATGCTAGGTTGGTTTAATAGTATAGATGAGAAATATTAGAGATTGAGTATTATGTGTGGTATTCTGTGCAATGTATATTGATGTTGTTGCCTTGCTCACAAATTGCCCTACTGTTTACTTACCTTTACTTATATTAGAGTAGTAACAAATTCCTACTTCCAGTCCAGTTAGACTTAAAATACACCATGAATATTCACTTTTGAGATGTGTTGAGATTCACTTTTAGGTACCGGTATGTGTTGGTTCTTAGATATTTCAACTTTGTCCTGTATTTTGTTTAGTAAATCTAACTTCCCAGATTGCATAAAAATGACTAGTTTCGCGATTTTGACACATGGAAAATGCCTGGGCTAAATTATTTGCTGAGGGACTGCCACTGTGCTCTGTAACTTGCAGCACATGAACCTAAGAACGTGAGGTAATCAAACAAAAATGACGTTGTACTAATGTACAAAAAGTATGTCCAAGGTCTTCACTTTTTCATAGCATAAAAACTATTTGCTCCCTCGCTTATTGTGACAGCCTCCAATCGACTGATTTTCAATTCTCCTCAAAAGTCAACAGGGGTTGAGCCCCTATTTTACGCTACCACTCGAAACTAACTTTTTTGCTTCACCTGTTTATTTGGCTTCAATTACCTTTTGGTGGCTGTCACTGTCGTCTTTTGAGTCTTGTCAATACTGTTTTGATTCAAATTCACGAAGCTACCGCCAAGAAAATTCGAAAAATCTTTCAACTAACATACCATAAGTCAGGCTTTTGTCACCATAACATTTAAACCTGAGTAGGGAAATTCACTCGCAGTAAATTGCTAAATTGCGTTCCCCATGCTAGGCAATCAAAAAAAGTATTTGCACTACATTCAAGATCTGCACTTTCTCATAGCATAAACATGGTTTTTACCCTCGCTTACTAAAATTGAAATATGATTGGGATCGCAATCACCGCCTCTATTGCTGCGGTAAGTAGTCTCTCACCTCTTGGTTATTATTCTCGTTCAAGTAATTCACGTCCTAAATTTTGGTTTCCGGGCGCCTCATATATATAAGCTATATTACCGCTAGGCTGAATCAATGATATAGAATAGAATACATTTTTTTATTAATACCGTAAAGATAATGTGACATTTTTTTACATAGTTGAACTATCCCTGAATTGTAAAGGTAAGACAATTTACAATATGTAAGAATATGGCATATGTCGGTAATGTATTTCTTATGTTGTAACACTGTTCGATGTACTTTATGGTTTCTTTGATTAGTGAAGTGTTCTTATTACTCATTGTTTGTATGAATTTTTTAGTTTGTCATATACATGTATTGAAATCCATCTATACAGGATTTGGCTGTTGCATATAAGGTGCATTCTGTTGTGAAATGTTCTCCATCTTCAATTTTAGCACAGTTTTGGCAGTTCTGCTTTGTAGCGGTATTTTAGGTTTTTGATGACGACCAGTTTCAATTTTCAGTTTGTGGCAATTCATTCTAAATCTTGCAAATGTCCCTATTGCTTTTCTGTCATTGAGTTTTTGTATATAGGTTACTTATTGGAAGGGGGCTTGTAGTTTTGCCTCCGTCAGTCCGTCCAGAGCGATTTCTCTGAGATGGCTGGACCGATTTTTTTTTGAAACTTGGTACAAAGACATAGTGGTCAACATACATGTGCATGTCAATTTATTTTCCGATTCGATCGAATATGGCCTACTGGTGGAATGCCAAAATTCAGTCAAATTCAGTCCTTGTGTGTCCTTCATCAGTTCTCTGAGATGGCTTGACCGATTTTGTTGAGACTTGTCACCAAGGCAAAGAGACCAGCCATACAGATGCATGTTGTTTTACTTTTTTTAAATATGGTGGACTGGCAGCCATTTTGATTGTTAATTATGGCTTTTGTCTGTCCATTGATATTTCTCATAGATGCCTTGACTGATTTCAATGATACTAGGTACAAAGACACAGTGAGGAGGTATACATATTCACATGGATTTATTTCCTGATTTGATCAAATATGGCTGCCTGGCGGCCATTTTGAATGTCAAAATCTTGTAAAATCCAGTTTTTTATATGCAGTATCTTGGACGTGCTTTGCAGTTTTCATTCAAATTTGCCACATACTTTATACATGTTAGGATACATGTCCATGACAATTTGTTTCAAAATCTGACCAAGGATGGCCGATTGACAGCCATCTGACTTTTCGGCCTTACTACTATATTTCCACAATTTATATACCATCACACATCATACATATCAGTGTGTTTCATGATCAGATCAAATAACAAGCTGAATAACAGCGGTTTTTATTTTTGGCCATATTACTACTACACGGAACACGTGTTTCGATGTAAATAAACAATCTGTTGTATACGCTACTGGGAATTCTAAGCGCTGGGCTGAATCATTTATATAACAAAATAAACATGGAAGATTTGGCGAACATTTGAAATATTGGCCGTGATATTGCATTACATTGCATTTTATCGCAGAGGTAATTTAATAGTCTCTTACCCCTTGGTTATTACACAGGGACTGTACTGTGGCTATTACAAGTATCACTGATTCTTCATCGCCAGAGTGATTCACATCCCAAATTTTGGTTCTCCGGGTGCCTCTGATAAATAACCTACCTATTTTTGGCCTCAACCTTTTTTCGCTTGAAAGGACACAGGTTCTTTGGATCAGACAATTTCTTTTGTTTCCAATTCGTTGTATGCCTAGAAACATGGCAATGTTGATTTTCATGAATATATAACATGTTCTGTTCCAATAAAGGATTTTGATATGCATAACATTTCCTTACTGAAAAATTTTCTGTACTCTAAAATTTGACAATGCCACTAGCCCAAGATGGACTACCTGTTGCAGACAGATTGTGCCGGTGTATTCCGGCTTAGAGGCAGCAGGTAACTGATCCCTGGACTCTCTAGGTGGTGATACACAGTTACAAGATACCACTGCGGTCTCCATCCCCCTGTCAGTAACACCCCCACTAGGGGCCCCTACTAGTACGTTTCACCAGAGTGATGAAACAGATGGTGCTGCTGCTGCACCCGGCGTCTATACACATCAAACCGTACCTAGTCGAATGCCTAGTTAGTGGTCCCTCTGTGTTCTTCCGAGAACTGATGCGGATCATCTGGTAGTTCCCCAAGCCGCATTATGCAGCTGCCCGGTACAGCGCACTTTGTTGCAGCACCGGGATCACCTACAGGAACTGGAGAGGTGAGTAACACTCCTGCACCAAGCGAGGGATGCCTTGCCCTGGTGGTCCGCACGGCATACAGGTTGAGGAGCGAACCTATTGGACGAACAAGCCCAAGGAATATGACCCCTGCATTGGGTTCAGGGTCGCCATATCAACTGGCTCGAACTAAAAACAGTGCACTTAGCACTGATACACTTTCTACCCATATTCCAAGGAGTACGACATTCCACATTAGCTTCGCAATCATGGCAAATGTAGAACAACCCTTAACTATGGGGATTTTTACCATTCTGTCTTCTGTGTTTGCCAAATCCAATTTGTGTCTATTTTGAAAGTAAAAATAATATTTTGGTTAAATGTTGTCTGCTATATTCAATCAGTTCATAATATCAAATGAGATCATTCAAGTAGAACTGTCTGTTTTTTTCTGGATGTGGTATAACATATTTGGCAGATTGCTCCAACACATAGCTTGAATACTTGTTGAAATTCCGGTATAGAGGAAGGTTTGGCATTGGGATGAACTACTCTAGTCCGGTAAAGATGTATGTACCTGGACCTGGGATAGTGTTCATTTTAAAATGAAATGATGATAAACTCATATTTTGTTGCATGTTCAGAACTATCGCCCATCGCCAAACATAGTTTCTCATGCTGAGTGTCCAGACTGTTATGAAAGTATACTAGTAAAATCAAAACAATGTAATTGTTGATGGTTGCATTCAAATAACAATGTTTAAAACGTGTTCGTTTTACTAAGGAAACTACCAACCATTTTAAGTGAGCAAAATTTATGCAATTGGGACATGAATGATACAACATTACATGTACATATACTTTTTGTCACACAAAAAACAAAATTATTGCACATATGATTCACAGTAATTTACAATATTTGTACAATTTCACAGCTCCACTGTTGGGATCCTGGTACACCAATAGAAGAAACATTAAGAACTCTTAATGATTTAGTAAGGTGTGGAAAAGTACATTATATTGGTGTAAGTAATTTTACTGGATGGCAGCTACAGAAAACAATCATGTTATCAGAATTCATGGGTTTGAATAGAATTGTCAGTCTTCAGGTATGCAATATTTATTTTGATCACATAGGTTTGTTGTTAATTGTTTTGTAATGTATTGACCTTTTATGTATTCCCATGTTACATAACATGTCTCTATTGAATGGGAATTCTAAGTTGCAACAAAAATTAAAATTAAAAATATTAAATACCCCCAGTATCGGATAATAGTTCCTTCGCCAGCCCCTTCACCCATAACTCAAATCCTAACTCTGCCCCTCCAGTGCTTTTCCCCTATTTTAATTGTATATATGCATTATATATATATATATATATATATATGCCCCTCTTCAGGACACAAGTAGTTATTGGAGGGCCATTTATATATTTATATTTACATTGAGGGCTGGAGTGTTAGGATTAGGGTTAAAGTTATTTCTTTCCATTGGATTTGATTGAAGACAATGCATAGTTTTCAACATATTCTGTGTTATGCACAAATAACATCATCAGCTTTACCATGTAGGGCTCATACCACTAATTGAAACTCCATAGACGACAATGTTAACATATGACGAGATTGCTATATGAAAACAAAGTTGAAAACATGGCTCAAAAATGGGAAATCAACATGACAGTAATCAACCGCATGAAAAAAACTAACATGTTGACCAGCTCAAACTCTTGCAAATCTCAGGTAAACAAGACACACCTACTTTTTTGGATTGCACCTAGAGAAATCACTGGAAAAACACCAAGTACACAACCGCTACATGCAAGTAGTAAACAAAAGACAACATGTTAGTGATCACACCCTCAAACAGGGAACACCTGAGAAAAAAAAATATTAAAAAAAATGTCATTGGTTCTTGCAAGGCATTTAAATTGGGCTACGAGCAACTATTGGTTGATTAGTGGCATGAGACCTGTGTGAGGCACTGCAAAGTTGAAAGGTCAATATTGAGTTCTCATCTTGGATTAGTCACAATTTAGTGTGCAGATCTAATGTCACTTGAATCTCAAAATTAAAGTCGAGAAGTCAACAACTTTGCTAGCCTGACAAGGTCGCGTGAGTTGCTCTAAACCCAACACATGCCTGACAGAATGATGTACCGTAGTGTTTTTGGGCTGTACCAATCAAATTGCAGAAACATTAGATATTCCCGCCCAATGTTTTTCATCTTGTTGAAAACAGTCTGTGATTTTTGCCGACAATGCAAATAAGACTTTGATTGACGGTGTTACCATGACCACCAAAATAAATATTCATTGTGAATTTGCAGTATTGATCTTGCCGATGAGACATACATGTACACTATTCTGTTTTTAGTTAGTGAGGTCTGATGCCATTCATATCTATATAAACATGTGGGTGGAATAACCTGTACAAGTGTACATAAAGCTAAACTCATTAAACTTGTGGAGCTGTGGGGAAACTATGATCATATTCACTGATCCATATGCAGCTCATCTGCAATTTCAAGACGCAAAACATACATGAAGATAAGTTTTGTTAAAGTACATCATATCCACAGGTTATATTTATATCATGGCTCACCATGAGTCAGGTGGCTGCCACCCTTTGTATCTCAGTAAGTGACGGACAGCAAGTGTTAAATTGTCTCCTCCAGCCCTTTCATGACCAGTTAAATACAAGATGCAATGAAACATTAGTTCTTTTACTAAACTTCTATTACATCCAAGTTAACATATACCAATTTCATAGCTTACAAAATATTTGTAGACTATTGTCAAGTAATATGAGATATGAGTGCACTAGAAACTAGCTAGGATATATACATCCCAATTAACGTATATGCATTCCTACTACCTTATACTAAAATATGAAGTTACACAGATAGGGAAAATGTCTCATGGCATGGAAAAATAATGCTTTCTTTTGTCCAGGTCATATGATAAATATTTTGAGTGTGTATGTATTAAAATATGTAATCATAGTACACATGCAAAGTAAACAGAATTATGTGAATTTGCATTGGTGGTGGGAATTTCCAAGCCAGTATATAAAACAGTGAACAAATAATTTCGTAAATAATACTAATTCTCATTAAGGTGTATCATTTATGCATATAATTACATATCTTGTATATTTTGTATCATTTTAATTATACATGGTATTTCCAGATTAACACCAATTGTTAATGACACATACAACATTAGATTCTCAACTCTGATGAAAAGACAAGTTTCTGCAATCACAGCGAAAGCCAATCATTGCGAAGCTGTGCTTTATATGTTTGTGTTAAATGTGTGAAGATTGAAAAGCATATATTATATTCATAGCAAGAATACAGCCTGCTTTGTAGAGCTACGGAATGGGAATGTGTTGAAGTTTGTAGAAATGAAGGAATTGGATTAATACCATGGGGTCCACTAAAGGGGTAAATTTCACTTCTTCTTGTCAGTGAAACACAAATGTGGTTATGGTGAGAGAGAGGAGATAGTTGATTTCAATGTCAATTTGTAGTTCAAGTACCATAACACATGATTATAATAAATTTAAATCCCAGAATTACAGTAAGTATTCTGTTACATCATAAATGAATATACGGGTATATACAAAATACTCAAAGGAAATCAGGCAGGATTAACAAAAATAGAACAGATCAATTATTTGTATTGAAAACCTTAATTCAGAACTATTTCAAGAACAAACAAAAATTATATGTATGTTTCATAGTTTTTTCCAAGGTTCCTGACAGTGTCTGGAGAGAAGGCCTTTATTGTAAGTTATTAAAAAAAACATTAATGGGAAAGTATTTAAAATTATAAGAAACATATACTCAAACACTAGAGCTAATATTAATATTTATATAACCAAAAACCAATTAATATTAGAAGTGGAGTGAAATGGGGATGTGTCGTTATGTCCCACTATTTTTAATATTTTTCTTAATGATTTAAAAGACAATTTGCGCAATTTTAAAACGAATTCCGCCTTGCTAATTTATAGATCAGAAATATCGGCATTGGATATTAATGACAATATTAAATGGGACAACAAAAACAACAGAAAGAATTATATTAAATTTTACAGGTGAATAAATGTTCTGTAACATGGCATCAACAGCAGAAGTGGGTCAATATCCACTTTTTTTTCTGCAAAAATGCAAGCCATTAAATACTGGCTGCACATAAAGGAACTCTCAGATGAAAACAGGCTTACCTAGAACAAAAACTACAAATGGTTAAATTCATTACAATCAATTTTACAAGAAAACTCTGTAAATTTCATTCAAGAAAAAATTCTTTGTAGTCAAATCAATAACATCTTAAAAATCTTGTTGGAAAGTAAATACATGAATTTATGGAAAGAAATCATTTCAAACTGAAAAAGTAAACTGAGAATTTTTGCAAAATATAAAACAGACTATACGTTAGAGACAAATTTGAATAATGACTGACATATTTGACTGCAAGAAAAGGAAATTGTAAAAAAAAAAATTAGAATTAGCAACCACAATCTGGAAATAGAAAAAGGTAGACACTTGCATCCAAAAACTTTTTAAAAGACAAACATGCCAAATATACAGAGATATAGACATTCTTATGAATTTAGCTGGTAAGAGAGCGAGACAGTGGATTTTATTTGCAATGGGAAGAGGGTTTCGGGGGGGGGGGGGTAGTGAATTTCAATGGCCATTGGGGAGGGGGATAATGGGTTTCAGTGGCCATGGGGAGGTGGAGGGATAGT